TGGGGGGCAGCCCTCCCTCCCTTGCTGATCTCATCTGATCTCCCAGCTTCAAGAGCCATCTCTGTACTCTGTACTCCCACGTTTATAACCCAGCCAGAACATCTCCCCTGAACATGACATTTCCACACGGATGATTAATACACATCTAAAACTTAATATGAAGCCAGACTGAATTCACATCACCCACAACCTCTGCCCAAGCCCCATCCCTCCCACAGACTTCCATCTTCCAAAAGCCTCAAGCCAAAACATTCTGCTTTTCATCTCACCCAGAGTGTCAGGCAGATCCTTAAATGGCACACAATTCTTGGTGGTCCAGCCTCCGCCTCCCTCTAACTTCACTTGCTACTGTTCAGCTCTTTTCTGCTCCAGCCTCTCAACCATCCCCACAAAAGCAAGGTGGGACATATGGGACCGTCCCTTCATTCTGGTGTCCCCTTCCCCAAGAGTCTGAGTGGCCAGATCCTTGACCTCCTCACTCTGCTAAAACATTACCTTCTTAGGTGGCTTCTGGAAGTTCTTTTAAAATGACAACTCTTCTCTCCCTTTCTTTGCTTCATAGCTCTTAGCTACATCTGTTATATTTTATTTATTCATTTGTTTTTTTTTTCTTTCAACTTTCCTCCATTCCTCCAGACCTCCCTCCCAATCTTTCACCTCTCACTGGCATCTAAGTTTGTCTGCTGCATCCTCAGTGTTTAGAACAGATCCTGGCACAGAGCAGGGACTCAGCAGGTGTATTTAAGTGGAAGAATGAATAACTGGATGGGTGGTAGTGTCTCCCATAGGAGCCATCACAGTGGAGCTCCGAACTTTTACAGAGCCAGGGTGTCAGGGAAGTCTGTCTGTCTCGTGTGTGTGCGCATGCCCACACATATCCCTCTAGCTTCTGGTGTGGTGGACGGACTCAGGGAATGGTGAGACACATCAGAGAAACAGGCAATCGTCAGCATCGCACATGCACTCTGCATACAGCCCAGTGGGGAACTGCCACTGCAGGGGGCACAGGGGCACTGGGTGACAGCACCTCCCAGAGGACCCAGGAGTGGTGGGGCTGGATACACTGTGGAGACTGCTGGAGTGAACATTATTGACACTTGGAGACTTCTGGGTCTTTGAAACAGACTGAAAAAAAAAAAAAAAAAAAAAAAAACAAACAAAAAAACCCTGACTGATAGAGATGTCAACCAGACTGCCTCAATAAAACAGAGCCTCTATAAAGTGTTTCCATTTAGACAGACTTTACAAAATTATTGTAAAGAACTAAGCTTCCTTTCTGGAAGGACAGATCCCACTAATCTGGTGTTAATACTCTGGCTCTTGTTCTGTCTTCTTTCTGTGACTTCCTGTCTTACAAAATGTGTATCTCTGCTGAGAACAGCCGCTGAATATTGAGTGTTGGCTTCTGTGGTCCCTAGGAGCCACTGTCCACACACAGTCTTGGAAAGCAGGCTGCATTTGTAATAGGAGCAGTCCTGTTTGGGTAAGTTACTCAGAAGCTACAGTTTTTGTTTCTCATCTGTAAAATTGGGACAAGAGTTCTGCAGCAAGTTTATGGTAAACGAGAAAATAAGACATATGTAGCACGTGCTTAGTGAGAACAACATCTGCATTTCTGTTGTGGCAGCCCCTGTAGTTTAGGAAGAGAAAAGACTTGGTCTAGACTCAAGTCACTCTGGTCAGTGTCTCCTGACCCTTGGCAGAGGTGAGCCGCTGACTGGTACCTCCTAGGCAAAACTGTGAGGACACCCAATAGGATAGAGGTGGAACAGGATGGTGGGGTGCTGGTGTTATGAGCACACTGGTCCAAATTCTATTTCTTCTCATGTCTCAACTCAATCCCACTATCAAAAAAAAAAAAAACCCATTGATTTAAGCTTTCTTTGTGAGGAGTTAATTACCCAAGCATCACTGGATCTTGTTATAAAGCACTTCGACCAACACACAACATCACAAACGACTTCTCTGAAATTGGAGGAGCCTCCACTGCAGCTGGGTGCATTTCTCTGTCCATGATGCCTCTGGGAACTGTGAAACTGGTTCAATGCTGATGGCATCCACAGTTCAGGCAGAGGCTCCCAGCGCCATTCAGAACAGGGACTGTCCATGCTCCGTCTGATAAGAAGTGGTGCTGAATACACTGCCTACCAGGGCATCACCATTTCCTTTCAAGCAGACACTATCTCTCCCATTAGCTCCAAGGAGTCATAGTATGGCTACCCCATTACCCGGTGTCACCAGAGGGAAGGCCATAATGTGGGAAGAAAGAAAGAGAGGGATAAATGGACAGGAGCCTGAAAGGCCTAACTGGAGCTGAAACAAAATAGAGAAAGAAAAGGCAGAAAATTAAAGCCACAGGAGGGGGAATAGGAACCCGTGGTTCCCTTCCCACAGGTTGTTTACATGGGCCTGGTCTGCTTCTAGGCAACACTCAAATCCAACTTATTTGATCTGAAGGAAGGTACTATGGATCTTGGCCTTTTCCAGGGATCCAGAATAGCAGAAGGGAGTCTCCATTTTTAACCCCTACTCTACTCAGTCTCTGCTATGAAACTTTATTATCTAGAAAGGAATATACATGTCAGGTACCGTCCTAGAAGAGGGGCTTCAGAATCCCTGGATGGAAGGGAACAGAAAAGAAGATGGGTGGGGAAGAGCAGGCGTGCATATACAGAGGACTAGATCTGATGGGAGGACAGAAAGCAGCAGCCACAGCAAACCCTGCATGCCCAGGCAGGGTAGAGTCTTCTGGATGCCCCCAGGTGACAGAACTGAGAGGGCAGATAGGAACAGAGAAGCTTTCAGTTTCTCAGATAGAGGTCTTCATTTAAAAGCAGCCTATGGCCACAGCTTGCTAAATACATCATCTGGCTTCCCTGACTCTGATCCTCTCACTTTCTACTCTTGTTCTCTCCTATTCTGCTTCCCACTCACACTGGCCCCCTCCCTTTTTCTTGACTCTACAGAAAGCTCCTACCTTAGGGTGTTCCCATTGCCTCTGTCAGGGATGCAGATCTCTGCTCAATTATCACCTTATCTGAGAGGCCTTCTCTGCCAAGAGCAGCTTCCTGCCAGAACACTCCCCGAGCATTTACCTGCTTTATGTTTCCTTCCTGCACTTGTCATCAAGAGTTTATTCTGTCTCCTTTCCCCCATGGAATATGAGTTTTACAAGGACGTACATATTACTTTGTTTACTTGCTTAGAGCATAGTAGAATGCATGAAATATTTACTGAACCCAAAACCGTACCTCTGTGTGTGTATGTGTATATTTCTGTGGCTTGAACTATTGGGTGGCTTAGGTTGGACCATCACACAGGGGCAGAAATAAGTGGGAAGACCACTGAAGTTGAGAAGCCTTGGTAAGAGTTGCCATGCTCTTCTAGAAGATGTAATTTGTACCACCATTCCAAGGGTGACAAAGCTGTAGCAGCCAGCCTCCAAAATGAGCCCTCTGCTCCCTAGCACCTGATCCTCACACCCTGTGTTGTCCCCTCCCATCCTGGAAAGAACTGTGTAACTAAATGAACAGTGTGACAATGGTGATGATGCTTAAGCATGGTCATTAAAGAGACTGTGATTTCTGTCTTTCTCCTTCTGGCATTATCCACTGTGATGAAACCCAGTCACCATGCTGTGAGGAGACTTAAGTAACCTAAGGAGAGAGGAAACAGCAGGAAGAACTGAAAGGAACGCGTGAGGAACCATCTCAGAAGCAGGCTTTTCAGCCCCAGTCGAGCCTTCAGATGACACAGCCCTGCTGGCATCCTTAGCACAACCTGCTGAGAGGCCCCAGGTCAGAAGCAACTGACTCAGCTGCTCCTGAATTCTTGACCCCCAGGATCTAGGTGAGGTAATAAATGTCTCTTATTGTTTTACATTACTAAATCTTAGAGACTTTTGTTTCACCATGATGAGTAATTCCCACAAAGCAGAGGGGGCAAACCCAGGTCTGAGTCTGATGTGGGTATGACAAGGACTGCATCTCTCACTGGTTAACTGTGCTGTCCATTGGCCCCTGTGGAGTCAGCTGGTCCCAATTTGACTCTGAAACTCTTAGTAGCCACAAATGCCACCTCAGTAAACTTTATTTAGACACAAAGAGACATGACAAAAAATACATACACAGATACAGATTATTGTTTTCTCTATAGGATGAACAAACATCACACAGGGGATTTAAAAAGTTAGAGCATGGAATGTAAGAAAAGATCGCAAAGTTCCTGTTCACTCACACTTAACACAGACACATATTTCAGAGGAAGACAGGGATATACCATCCCACAACAGAATTCACAGTTGGTCTATAACAGTACACAGGTGTTAGGAAGGTAATCAAAGGCGTTAGGGCTTCAGTTACTCTTGATATGACAGAATGCTCACAACACTAGTAGGACTCTGTTTAAACAAAAGACAGAATTGAGGATTCCATACCCCCTGCACAGATGCTCTGCAAGCTGTCAGCTAGGGCACAAAGCGGCTTGGCAGTAATGCCACGTTAGCTTTCATCTTGTGGTCTGAAGGTCTCTGTAACCTCTCCCTTCGTGTCCACATCACAGAGAGTTTAGATAGACATACTGAGGACATGGAGATCTCGACATGCTGGCTTAGAAACCCACAGTACAGAACATTGACATCAGTTTTTAAAATGTGGCTTCAAAAAGAAAAAGGAATAATAGCAAAGAGGAGAACAAACACTTCACACGTGCTGCCATCTCCACTGGCAGTGTTTCCCTCCACGTGCCTGGGGTCCCACCCACAGCGACCACTGGCATCTGCGTCCTCTCCCTGCCATGGGTGGACCTGGGCACCTGCCCTCTAAAATCACAGCTGGGACCTCCTGTCAGAAGTCACGTATGTCACCAGGACATGATGCAACAGAACCATCCCACTTACTCCTGTCCTGAGTAAGTGTCTGGCCTTCACACCATCTTCACACTTCAGATCAGGGGGCCCTAGGCAACCTCTGTATTTTAGTAAAAAATGGTTTCCACTGTACCCTTCGTGTGTCCTCTTCCTAATGTGACAAATCCAGATGAGATGAAGTTATGGAGATCAGGTCCTCCACTTCGGTAAGCATCCTTCCCATAATGTCCTGCAAGAAGATGGGGCACAATTACCTGACGCATCTATGACACCAACAAGAAGACAAATGGATCTGCTCCAGCTCACCACCCATGATGATGAACTGGGTCTCAAATTAGCAGCAAGTCAGATGGTAGATGAAGTCAAGAGAAAATATACATTATTTTATATATTAAACATTATATATATTATATATACAATTGTTGATCACCAGTATATATAATAAATAAATATAATATATAAATATATCTGTATATATGTGCAAATATATACATGTATATGTGTGTGTGTATACTCATATACACTCATGTACATGTATATGTAAAATTGCAAGAAGAAAGATTTTGAGAAGTTTCTATTGAAAGTAGAGAGGAAAAAAGGCAATGCACCATTTGATTTTGGCATTTCTGACGAGAACACCAGTTTATTTGGCCCATCCTTTTTTCTCTTATCCAGCTCCCTCCTCCTTGCCTTGCTCATTTGTTTTCTTCCTTTCCAAAGTATGCAGGCGTGGGTCTGCTTGGGGCTGTGCTGTGTGTGTAAGTTTATGAATCATCACACCCAATGGACTTGCAGCCCTGTGGCTGAAAAGCCCCACATCAGCTGAAGCTGACAAGAAGAATGGAGGTTGTAAAACACTGTAAAGATATTTATACGCTTTTCTCTCTTGACTGTGCAATAAGATCTTAGCCCTCATCAGCCTACTACGTCCTCAGGAAAGACTGAGGGCAGGTTAGGGCTTCTAAGAGAAGAAATTCAAAGAGAGATTTAATGTCCTGCTTCTGACATTTGAGATAGAATTTCACAACGCACTTGAAATAGAGGTATTGTCAAGAAAGAAAGGACGCTCTAAATGCCATCCTAAGGTAAGTACATGTGAAAATGGAGAAGACCCATTTTTGTCATGTTGCCAAAAGCATATTAAAATCTATGCTTATAATTATACCAATGTGCAAAACCACCTGAGGATGTAATATTAAGTTGAAAAGTAGACAGAAAAATGCTACATTAACAATGATCACAATGCTCTGCTGGGAAAATCAACAATTCCAGCATAAAAAACAAAACAGATGGAACCAGGGCCTTTGGATAGCTGGAATAAGATCACCAAGTCTTACTTTTTCTCTCACTTTTTTATATTTAATCAAGTTTTTTTTTTCAACAAGTATGTAACTTTGGTAACATATCAGTAAATTAGTGAAATAAATTTATAAAGACAAATTTATGGTAAAGGCAAAAACAACCTAAATCACAAATCACCTTTTTTTTTTTAATGAATGTGGCACCCTCTATATGAGTAGATCTCAAATTGAGTGCATAGTGGAATGATCTAGAAGTTTTTAAAAGTACAGATGTAAAATACAACAGGGATTGTGACCCTGTTGGTCAGAGTATGGGCATAGGCAGGGGTATTTAGCTTTCTAGGTGATTCTAGTGTGCCACTGAGAATGAGAATCACTGACCTTAGAGCAAGTGGAGAAACAACCTATATTCAGGTTATTTAGGTAGGTTCCTTGGACATTTGCAGATGTTTGACACAACCTACTAGTTAACTTGTTAGTTCTGCCATTCTATCTGTGGGGTCTGACTGGCCTCATTCTTTCCTTCTTCACTTAGATCAATATTTCTTGAACCTGAATGTACATAAGAAAAACCATGGGAATGTTAAAACAGACTGCTGGGCTCTACTAGTAGAGGTTCTGATTCAGTAGATCTGGGGATGGGACAAGCTTTGACATTTCTGTCACCTGGTAATGCTGCTGCTGCTGAATCCAAGGGCCTCACTCACAACCATTATCTTGACAGCTCCAGAAACAGGAGAATTCTACCGCTGTATTCCTTATGCCCTCCACTGTGGAATAAAACACCTCCTTTCTTAGGGTACTCAGCTTTCCACAAAGAACTCATTTTCTATAAAATATTGTGATCATAATATAGTATTTTTAGAAGTGAATTATTGGAGCTAAGCAGCTTTCACCCACATCCCAAACCACATCACAGCTCTAGAAACTGTACTTCAGACTCTAAATAAATGTGTCTTTAACAGGGGGCAGGGTTTAAAGGGTGCATGGAGAGGCACACTACAAGTCCCTGGATGAGTGTGGACCTAGTTTTGTAATAAGGTCACTTTCTACCCACCTCTTCCCAACAATAGAAGAATAAGAAAAGGAAGCAACAATTCAGGACTCTCATAAATTTGGGCTGCATTAATTCAGAATCTGTGCTACATCCTGCAGAATTTGGTTTATTTTATGCTCCTTCATAAATAAAAAATTTGATAAATCAATATCAAATAGAGGGAGGTGGAACATAAAACAGTGCCTGTGCTACTTAGAAATCATTCTTATCTGTCAGCTGGAACAAGGTCCCTCAGGACTAAGTGTTGCCCTAGTGTTTTGGGTTATGCTTGTTTGGAAAAGAACTGGCATTTCCTAATCACCTACTAGATAGCAGAGGGACAGAGATTAATTTTTTTGACATAATAATAGTGAATATTTTATAGCATTACATAGCTTATTGAGATCTTTCACATATATTATTTATTTCAAATTTTAATTACTATTACAGGATAAGTTGTCTACTACTACTGTTTCCCCAGTTTATGGATGAGCAATCTAAGGCCAGAAGTATGAAGTTAGATGACTGGTCAGAGTTGGCATCCAGATTTTCTGACTTGGAAGTCCAGTTGCATTCTGGCATGCACACTCAGGTTCACTTACTACTCACAAGAAACCTATGTAAATAAGCCACTTCTCCAAGGCCACAGAGCTAGTAGTGGCAGATGTGGGTGCCAAACAGCTCTCTGGCCTCCTGCTTGATGGCCGAAGAAGGGCAAAGCCTTGGATTGATAGCTGCAGAACAGAGATGTGACAGGAGACAGGTCTACCTGTCTCCAGATTCAGTTTTTCTACAACTCACACCCTCACCATCTGACCTGGTGGTCTAAGCATTTGTAGTTATCACTCTTCTTTGAGTTTTAACTGGGTTCCAGGGAGTATGAAGTCCTTGATAATGTGTAAAGTCATAGGCAAGGCAGCTCAACTGTGTGGAGCTTCAACCACTGAGGTTTTGAGTTAGAAAAAGAAAACATGGGGTGGGGTTAGGATCAAGTATAGTTAACAGGAACAAAGAATCCCAGGGTTGAGTCATGTCTGGAACATGTTGAGCTCAATGAAATGGAAAGTAAACATGAAAATCAAGCCTTAGGTCAGAGCCATTGGGCAGATTCTCCAGGGAATCCTTATACTTTGCCTTGAGACACTTTTTGGGAAAGTTGCCCATGAGGTTGTGTTGGAGGAGGCACATGGCTGTTTTTGCCTTTATTGGCCCTCAAACTTGAGTCCTTCAGGTCCCCGGACGCCACACAGATTGCCAGCCTCTAGCTGATTAGTAGGTTGAAGGTGAGACCTAATACTTCCCATTTCTAACAAGTTTCCAGAAGATGCTGATGTTCTTCACAAGGCAGGGACCCCACCTTATGAACCCTTGAGTAAGAGAGAACTACTGATGGGCCAGTTTTCAGCTGGGTCCAAGGCCAATGCAGCATTTAAGGTCTAGAATGATGTATTCTCTTCATCTTCAAAAGGAACAGTCTAGAATGAACAAGGCTAAAATGAAGAGACAAATGGCTGATAAAACACAGCAGGTGAATGGACATAAAAGAGAAAGGTCAATGCTTCTTTTATGCTTAGGTGATGCACAGCATTGATGCATGGGTAGTATGAATGGGTATCATAGAATTCTTGAACCATTACACAAAGCAGCATTCCCTTCTTTGTTCTGCAGCTTATTATGACTTCAAGGTTCTGACCTTCTCCCAGCCATCAAGGCAGGAGGCCAAAAGTCATACATGGACTTTGCCCAAATTATAATTCCAGAAAAATAGCCATATATCTAGCAGAACTGCTCAGCAGAGGTGATTAGTAGGTGCTCTGCTGCTACCCTGTCATGGTCACCATCGGCCAGAAGCCAGAAGTCACAGGGACAGTACTGAGGCAAACTGTCCCTTGCTTGGCAGGATGCAGAGTAAGTCTCAAGAGAGAAGGCCGAGCCTGGGTTCCTTTAGTTGTGCCCCAATGGGGGCTCTGATAAGGAAGTGCCCCTGAAGGATTGGAGAGAAAATTTCTCTTATAAAAGGATTCTCAAGAAGAATCAGGAATAAAAAATGAGGTAATATCTGAGTGGTGATCTCAATAAGATTTAAGAAAATTTTGCATCTGTGAAATTTGGTCAGTAGCCAGGGGAGAAAAACAAAATTATTAGGAAAGTCTGCCTGAGCTGCAAATATGGACAGAGTGGATTACATTCCAATGAGAAAGCCGAGTCTTGGAAAGACAAAGGGCTGAAAATGAGAGAAATGAAGAGAGAGAGAGGAGCATGCAAAGAGTTACTATCTATTTAAAATATTCCCAGAAGAGAAACAAAAGGGATAATTCAGAAGCAATAGTTAAAAGTTAATCGATTTTTTTTGTCTTTATAAATGGAAGACTTTAGATCAAAAGGAATAATCAAGCACCAGACTATCTGTTAGATGGGACCGACATCTAGATAAAACAAAGACTTACCATTTAGGAAAATAAAAGAAATCGCTCAAGTCATCTTCATAAAACACTAAGCCTACAGAAAATGAAGCAACCTTTTCAAGAATTTTGAGAATTTTGTTTCTGTAGAGACAGGACAGTGCTGGTTGAAGAATACACAGCCTCTCTATATTTCTGTTTCCTTAAACATGAAAGTAGTGATAGCTCCCATCTCCCAGGTTGTTTAGGTTAAATAAGTTTTATACATAGACACATACATACATACATGCATGGACATACATGTGTACATATATCTGTGGCATTCAGAGCAACATTTCAAATTAAGAATTTGCTGGTATTTTTCAGAAGAGATATTCCATTCCATTCCACTCCTTTTTTTGAATATAGTGAAAGGAAGGAACAGAACTAAAACTTCCTTCTGGGGAAAAAGAGTCAAACTTTTCACGAAATAGAAGAATTGGGCAACACA